GAATCACTATTCACCTAAGGGAAGGCCGATCAAACCCCCCACACCAGGAGTCTGTGCAACCATAGATAGTAGGCACAATACTTTTACTTGTTATTTGCGTATGAGTACGAGTACAAAGTGATTCCCTGGCTAGTGACGAAATTCGGGCCCCAATCCTGTGCCAAAAAAAAGTGTTGACTGAAACCTTGTTAGCTCATGCTTTGTATTTTGACATATCACAGTCAACAGGGAGGAGCATGCCCAGTAACAGATGGGTTCTGACCCGAAACTTGGCATTATTTGTGTAGGAGAGGAACTCTGTAAAAAAAGATTTTATTTGGAGAGATTCGATGAATAGTACGAGTACAGGGACGGATCCTACGATAATGCTCCCAGGTGATCGTAATATATTTCCTCACTTCATCCTAAATTGGGCTTTAGCAGTTTCAGTAGAGCCCACCCCTATTTAATTGAACACTAAAGATTCCGGAAATTCTGGTATCATACTAACTGTCATTCCTGCTCTAACAATCCCAACCCTGGGGGCAGCCAATCCCACAAAAATTGTGCCGACTGTTGAATGTTACGTCCTCCTATTCCTATGAGTCTTCTAATTTACGTGTCATTCATGTGATATACACACGTGACACTTAGGAAAATCATGGATACCACTTTTGTATAGGAATAATAGTGGGAGGATAATCACGCAACGGTAGATAGAAGACTAAGTGATGGAGAACCATAACAGTGTATGGACAAGAGTGAGAGGTATAGTAAACAACATGGTTCGTTAACGCTTCCTCGGAACTAAAGGTAGAAAAAGCTGTATAAGTAAAACATAATAAACGCATCCTGAGATTTCCGTAGGTTACCACACCTATCTCTATGCCTCCACGCATTCCCCCGTTTTTCAGTACACTTCCGCGATAACAAAGGAAAGACATGTCAGGAAAATCTACTCAAGAAATCCCCGAACCTTCAAATTGATCTATCGAACCTCTGAACTCTTCACCTGACTCTTGAAAAATCCACAATATGCTCCCATCAACCATCTGCCACGCTGGGAGAACAGGGGTGCATGGGTTTTTTGTCTAGTACTCGGGTATGGACGTGGGTGACTAGACAGACAGGGGTTAGAAAATCCATATCTGCATATAGTTTCTAACCCCTGTCTGTCCGGTCACCCACGTCCATACCTGAGTAACAGTGCGCAAAAAAAGGATTCTCGAAAATTGGACTTCATCATGAGCGAATCAATTTAAAGAATCAAGGAAAATAAGGAAGCGGTAAAGAATATGTAGCCTTTTCCTGTCACTTATCAAGATAACTAATTGAATTGTGGTCAGAGATCTCTTGTGAAGGAGTATATCAGTCAATAACTGACTCGCGCAGCGATAGAGGGGGACTAAAGGTCTACGTGGGGGCTGTGATAGGACGTGTACTGTACAGTACTGTACAAGAGCATAACTTTAAGGTAAGGAAAAAAACAACTTCGTTCGTTCTTCTCTAAACTAACGGTAAAGACAGGTGTATAAGTAAAACGTGGGGAGTGTGTCCTCGTCGTTCCATGAATCACCACACCTATCCGTATCTCTCCAAGCATGCTATCCTCTCCTCCGTACACTCCCGTGATAACAAAGGAAAGACATGTCCGGAGAATCTCCTGTCAATCTCTGAACCTCCACACCAATCCATTGAACCTCTGAACTCTCCCCCAGACTCCCGAAACCTCCACAATCTATCTCAATCGACTAACATCGATCTAGAACCTTCAATAGGATCCATCGGAAAGTAAGGTTAGTGTATGTTCAAAGTTCCCAAGCGATAGCACCCAAATCAGGGTTACCTTGACTACCGGGTTTGTTGATCGGGGGCCATATTTCGGGGATCTAGTGCATACTACCTGTTTCCACTCTATCTTTGCAGGTCAAATATAACCGATATCCTAGCATCGTTGTCGAGTTTGGATACCGGTATTGTAATGTTTCCTAGAAGAAATCGAAAAATTGCAGTTGTTGCGAACGGTAAAACATATCATACGCCCCCTTTGTCCTCCAGGTATAATAAGCGTTGTTTTGTTTCGTTTCCCTAGAATCGCCATTCCGCCGCTTGAAAAGTCGTCGCTGTATTGGTAGTTTTGCCGGCTTAAAAGGCGTCGCCGTCTTAAATGACTGTATTTATCCTGATGTGTGCTAGTAGCTTTTACGTATTCCCCAGTATAGCGCTGTGCTCATGTGTGATAACGACAAAGGGTATACAGTGTGTATTTTATCTTCTTGTTAGAAAGGGTGCCACCGGGCTGTCTGGGGGTGCACCGAAATCACCCAGTGCTTGTTTCCTGGAGAATCTGGTACAAGTTTACACGTCCGTAAGAGGGGCATAAGGCCCAACCAATGGTGCATATTCTAGTTATATTATTAAAGATTGTGCATAGGCTGGATAAGGGTTACTCAGGAAATGGAGATGGAGCATCGTACACAACCTCTTCACCTCATAGGGGGCCTCCGAAGCGATAGTGCTGGACGAGGCTTTTTCACACGGATTTGTTGGAAATCATGAATGCTGCTCAGCATGCTCATGACATTATACGCTTTCCCATCTGTCTATTTACCGTCCATTTATTTCCCATCCGTCTATCCGCAGTTCGTTTGTTCGTTTTTGCCAGTTCGCCTGATTCTCCCCGCTCATTCCCTTGTTTGTTCTAACTTGTCCTTTCCTTTGTTCGTGGCGCAAATGCAGCCACGGGCACGCCATGGTAATGCGCATCAGTGTGATGGCGAGAGTGGTGCCAGTGAGAGGAAAGCGGGGGGAAAGCGGGGGGAAAGCGGTAGAGTCTGAGGGATTTTGCCGGCAGTCTTTATGGGGTCTGTGTTTCTTTTGTTGGTATGGTAGCACGGAAGGCAATAAGAGGGCGAAAGGCAATGGGAGCATGGAAGGATAATTGGAGCGCGGAAGGCAAATTGGACCGGTCGTCATTAGGTCTGTAATTGTTTGTTAGCAGGGAATATGCAGAGGAAAGGAAGACTTAGCTGGTCGAGTGTAGAAGGTGTTAAAGATATGCGGCGATCAGTGCAAGGACCGGAGGCGATTTTTTGTTATTTATACCCCCGTCTTTTCCGGATGTGTTGTTGTGGAGTGCGAGCAAGCCAGCGAGCAAGAGAGAGAGTTGTGAAATAAAGCAAGTTGTCGAGGAAGTTGTGGAGAAGAGTGTGAACATCTCAACTTTTGGTTGTGTAGAGTTTTTCACAGCACTTTTAGTCATTGGCGTTTCGTTTCGCTGTTTCGTGTCCGTTTCAGTCCTACTACCAGTTGGCTTTCTAAAATGATTGTCAGTACTAACGGCTGAGGACCTGCAGCCAGAGTTTGGCATCATCTATCCTATTTGCGGGTGCGATGTTTTCGGCTCTTTTCAATCCTCTGCATCCTTCCTGTTGGCGAGTGCGATGATGCAAAATCACGACATTTGCACTCATGCTTGGTAGGCGATATGAACGCGATATATGCCGCCAGAATGGGCCCACCACTACCCATGTATTACCGTTTAGGATGACCGTGGGAGATTTAGACAGTGTCTCCAATTGCCCGGCGACGCGCCACCGAGACGCCAGGACCTGACGGCAGAACGAATTCGGCAATCTGCTCGATAGTGGGAAACGAAGTTATGCGGTTTCGCCACAGAGACGGAGGTGGACTACGGGGAGGTGAGGGACGACTGAACTGGGTTCTGCGCTATATTTTCTTTGTTGGAAATGCTGCTCGGCATGCTCACAACTCACCCAGCATGCTCAGAACTTGCCTGACACGTTTATAACATGCTCGACATGTTCAGAAGATGCTCGATGGCCGGAAAAGCAGCATATCTGATATTCCACCCCATTATGCTTATCGTACGTCCACCCTATTATCTGTCTGTCTGCCCGCTTGTTTGTTCGCTCGTCCACCCGCCCAATGGTCTGTCCGTCCGTTTATTTATTCGCTCGTCCGTTTGCTCGCCTGTCTACCTATTCTCTTGTCAGTTTATCTGCAGACTTTCCGCCCTTCCGCCCAGCGATTAGTCCGCCCGCACGCCCGACCGATCGACCGTATCACCAGTCCTTTGTTATTCGTCCACCCATTCACCGATTTGCCCTATCATGTCTGTCGGAGAAGTACGGCGTATGGCGGCGGGAGTGAGGAAGGTAGTAGGAGCGCAGGATGTAGAGGGAGCATGGGAGGAAACGGGAGCGTCTTTGTTGGGCCTGTATTTCATATGTAAGTACAGAAGAAATGCGGCAGCGGAAGTGATGTCGGCGACGGAAGTAGCACGGCAGCGGGAGAGCTCTTCGTAGCGCCTGTTCTTTTGCCCTTTCTTTTGTTAGCGATGGGAACAAGCCGAGGAAAGGGAAACTTGAGCGGATGAGCGGGGATCGCGATGGATGTGTGGAGTCCAGTGGGAAAATGAGAGGCCCAATCGTCGTTTATTTATACACCTGTCTTTTCCTCATGTGTTAGTTGAGTTGAGCAAGCGAGTTGAAAAATCATCTTACTCCTCTTTTAATCTTTGTCTTGGCGTTTCGTTTCAGCTGAGTGATAGTTTGTGATCTCAGCGATCGTGGTTTTCCTGCTCCGGAGTCATAGCTGCTTAAAACATACGTTGCCTCGATGGCCGGGCCAGAACTCACAACCCTAAGGTGTTTTTGGCCCCATCATTGCAGATTGATTATCATGTTTTGGTGTCAACCAGACATGCCACTCCAATCCAAGGAAAGATAGCGTTTCTACCGCAGACCTTTATGATTGGGCTCGAAATGAAGGGCTGGTGAGGTAACCAGACGGGCCAAGTTAAACTATCGGCGACAATTTCCCATCCAGAATGGTAAAATGGCACTTGGGGAAAACTCACTAGTATAGACCTGGCGCGGGTATGATGATAGGTGGGTGTCTCCCGCCCTCCTCAGCCTTAGCCGGACAAGTATCATAGTGGCAGAGTTTAGGGGGTAATCCACTTCTCTGGATAATTTATGGCAGGTGTTTGATACGAGAATCAACTTCTGACGATTGAATCCCCAGCTCACTTCCTTTGGTCACGCTACAACATTTTCACCCGTCCAACCACATCATCCCCCAACAACTATCAAGAAATCATCTCCACTGTGTGAGACGACTGCGGCTTCCGCCCCTTCAACTCCTGTCCCTCCCATATCACCTGGACTCGGCTCTGGCCACAAATTCCTCCGCGGCCCTGGACTCCTGTGAACTTCCATGATGCCCAACTGTCCTGCTCCTTGTTGCTACTGTTGCTTGATTGGGTATGCCACCACTACTACCACCACAAGAAGCGGTTATTCCACCCTCGATCTACACCTCCTGTACCTCTCATCCCTCGCCGACCTTGCGGGGCCATTCCGTAGTTCTCCGATCTCGATTCGCATCTCTCGAATTGACTCACTACGGGAGCAGAGGTTTTCCATTTTTTTGCCAGTGGCCGTGAAGTGCTATGTAGTGTGTTAGTGTGAATTGCTAAAGGGGGAAGAGGAAGCTTAGATGTACCTTTTTTTGTCTTTCTTTTTCATACAGAACCTAGGCCAGGATTAGGGATTGTAGCTGTAGTTAATTGGAGGGGGGGTATAGGCAACCGGATGTTCTATGCGGTGGTAGAGGATAAGGAGGAGTGTTAGGTGGTAGGGCTGCGATATGGGGAGGAAGGAGAGGGAGGAAGATATAATTGGGAATATATACTCAGTACAGTAAAACCACCCTACTGCTACTGTTTCATGCTCATCTCAAAGGATTTTATGCCGCAATCCCACCATCACAAGCCAGCGGTAGGAATTCTGCGCTTCTAGCAAGTCTGACGGTGGGGACCCAATAATCGGAACAGCCGGGGGTGGTTTTCGCTTGCTGAGATCCGCCAGCCACCTCGTAAATTCTTGGGGGCAGAAGCCTTTCATAGTGGTGTTCGGCCAGTAGGATACCGACGGTAGCGGTCCAACGAGCCCAGCCAGTGCGGCGCTATCCGCTCAAGTTCCGCCCAGTACAAGGGACGCGTGAGTGTAAAAGAGACAGAGGGCAGTGCGGTGACGGCTACAAACCACGGGAGCCTTTGAGAAGCTGTTCTTTCTTGTTGTTAGCCAGAGCGCGTGAGAAATGGGGGGTTGCGGGGATGCATGTGGAACAGAGAGCACATGTGTGACGAGTGGCGGAAGACTATGTGGATAATTTTGGTATATACTACCGGATTTTGCGTTCCCGTCTAGCTAGTAGAGTCGCGCACGCGAGCGAGCGTGTTGTTGAGCAAATGGTGCCGCGTGGAGTAGAGAACCTATCCACCCTACTCGTAAGTCGCGTGTTAGCGATCAACGTTTTCCTTAGTCTGACTAAGCATCATTTAGATTTATTCATGATATTCAGCACCGCAATCCAGAATCCCACCATTTTGTGAGTCGCTCACCATATGCTGTTCACTATACGCTTTTTTGCTAGATAATCACAGTAGCTATTTCCCCGTTTGGTGATTGTATATTATTTGTTGTCCTCGTGTTCGACCATTGAACTAGGACATCATTCGCTGGTGTTCGATCATTCTCGTGTTTTCGTGGTTTCTCGGGGCTGAAAGTAGTCACTGTGTAAAACCAGTAGCTCTCTCGGATTAACTCACCTGAACGCTCCTAACCTGCTGAAGTTCGGGTTCTATTTATTGCTCAAGTACAGTACGGTACAGTACTCGTACAAGGGTATACCATGAATTGATGGTACAGTCGCACCTCGCTGTCCCGGATGGCCAAAATCCGCAGAATCTGTCCGGGACAACGGGGTACGTTCTGGTGCAAAAAAATTCAGAGCTCAGAGAATTTCGTCCGGGACAACGGGGGATCCGGGAGAGCGAGGTCCGGGACAGCGGGGTGCGACTGTACTGATATGATAGACAGACACACCCACAACCCCCGGCACCTCCTTACGTTCCGGACTTTCAGAGTCATTTGGTATTCCACGGAGAATTCCGGTCCCAATCTACCCGCAACAGGCAAGAAGTTGCGTACTCGAGTACGGTACCCGAAAACAGGGATTTGTAAAAATTTCTATGCAGAAAAATCCGTTGCCTACGGGTAGAAGAAAAAATGCGCTATTATGATGCTACAGTGACTAGACAAAAGTCTTGGTGATTGCGCCATATGAGACAAAGTCCGTGCCCTGAACGGTATTGCACTATCCTATAACAGTAAAGAAAAATTGATACTAAAAATTACGGTACATGTAAACACCCCACTCAGCCTTAGTATTCCGTATACCACCCCTTAGCTTCAATCACCGCAGCCACACATGAAGGCATGGATTTCCAGAGCTTTTCAAAGACACTCTCCGGTATTGTCTCCCACACCAATGGTAAGACCTCTGCCAATCGATCTCACACTCTCTCAGGACCACCAGGGGTATTCAGGATATCGGGATACTGTTTATGCAATCGGCGTTTAAGCTCAACCCATGCGTGTTCAATCGGGTTGAGATCAGGTGAAGTGGAGGGTGATCTTCCAACTCAATTCCGTTCTTAGTAAGCCACGCCATGGTGTTGCGAGCTGTGTGCACCTTTGCGTTATCCTGCTGAAAGAGAGGATCTCCGACCTTATCTGCGATCTCCTGCATAGGTGGCCCTAAATGGGCATCCAATAGTCTAATATAGACATGTCTATCCACAGTTGCATCCCTAATTGGAACTAAAGGACCTCGGTGCTTTCCCCAAAAGCAGCCCCAAACCATTAGGCCCACCTCATTGGTCTTCCCCCTAGGCTAAATGCAGTCTGATAGCCACTTTTCATGTGGTGATCGAAATACCCAAATGCGCCGAGGATCTGCCGATTTTCGCACCGTACACTCGTCACTATAGAGGATACCCTGAAAGTCTTCTGCAGTCCAATTCTTCTGGGCAAGGGCCCATTTTAGCCTAGTCTTAGCATGTCTTGGTTCCAATTTAGGTCTTGTTTGTGCAAGCCACTTTTTAACATTGGCTTCTCGGAGAACACAATCAATGGTGCGAATTGAAACATGAGGGGTGTATCGGTTCCAGAGTTCTAAACGGGTCATCGCACTATCTCTTTTGGCAGCTCTGACAATGGTGCACTTTTCTCGGCGACTAAGAAGCTGGGGACGACCCGATCGGGGTTTATTATCCATTGATCCACGAGCACATGTGCATGCAAGAAAGTTCTGAACTGTTAACCAAGGGCGGCCGACCAGATTGGCAACGGTCAAAATTGTTTGAAAGACATAGAAAAAGGCAATGATCATGCCTTTTTCAGCATCTGTCATCTCTCGGCGGGCTGTTTTAGGCTGATGAGCTCGTTTAGGAGGCATTGTATAATTGTTTTGGGTGGTGTAACATGATAGATCTCCAGGAGAGTGTGTACGCGATTTTAAAGGGGGATCATATTGTGTTCGCTTAGCTGTTGCTGACTAAGCGATCACCAAGACTTTTGTCTAGTCACTGTAGATTCTTCTCGGCCACGCGGGGGAAAAGACTGCAAAAAAAAATCAACCTCCGTTGAGACAAAGTAAAAGGAACACAGGAAACCGCAAACCCCTCAGGACGCTTCCCCTCCACCCGAGCGTTCACGTTACCGGGTGCAAAAACCCCGTAAACCATTGACCTCGTGAGGTTTGCACAGTATATAATAGTTTCTTTTTTCCCCAAGGATTAATTGAAAGAAAAAAAGAAAGAATCCGTTCCCGGTGTTTCCCTGCAGCCCAATCCTTCCCGCTCCCAGGGCCGAGCGATCAGAGATATGATACCGCAAAAACTCGTTACAGATCGCCCGCCTGGAGAGCCAGATCATTTTGAGTCTGGGTTGAGCAGTACCGGTACTCGAGTCCCGGTATGGGCACTCAGATACGCAGACAACTTGCCATGCAAACTTTGCCCCCTTGTGTTTAGGTTCCAACATGCCGGGAACTTGTAAATCCGATGGGCAATCTGGCACCGGTCCTTGGCAATCCTAGACAAAAGTATCCAACTAGTACCGGTCGGCTGCGGCAGTAGACCGTTAAGCAATAGATAGTCGTGATAGTTTCAACAATTTTGATTATCCTAGCACCACCGAACCGACACACGGCCAGCTATGGTGGTGGGGCGAAATGCTGTAGGTACAGTACCGTAGTTGGTTTACTCACACCTCCTTCTGACGGCTGGTCCGATAGGCAGGCTCCTTGCTGTTAAGGATCGGGTAGGTGGTAGTGAACCTAGAGATTAGCATCGTCAAAGGGAGGTTTGTTCCAGGATGTGAACAGTAACTATGATAGAACCACCAGGAGGAAGTCACCTAGAAGAAGGGTCCCCGCAACAATTTGTGCAACCCAAACCCAACTCAGCCTAGAGCTCCGAACCCACACACAAGAGCCTCTTATGGTATGGTGCCGGTATGCTTTATCTGGCAAATATCCACACCCCCACGCTTCCTCCCAACCAACCCCTCCCCCCGGCCAATCTGCAAAAGCAGGCGAAGTGCAATATATGAGTTGCTCATTTCCACTGAGAGTCCATAACCCCAACCCTCTAATGCAAAGAGAGAAGAAACCACGCGACCCCTCGGAGACGGCCTTTGGGAGTCTTCATAAAAGTTACCTTTCTAGGCAATCATTAGCTGATATTCCCACTCCCATTGCCACCAGATCTCAAGCTTTAGGGAATGGAGCAAGGAAGGAGGACTGTTGCGGGTAAGCATAGCTCGATTGATGAGAAATAGGCAACCTTTGGCACGATGATAGGCAAAACAATCATATGTGACTATTGAGAATAGATAAGGGGATACAGTGATTTCCTATTCCTTAACGTCCAGGGTAGGAACAACCCTCGCATGGCAAACTTATGCCTTCCCGTCTTTTCACCCGGCATTTTAAAATACAGATAATAGGGCATTCAAGATTTGATTTTTTAAAAAATTTCTTTTATAGAATTCATATATGAACCCCCGTGCTTAATAACTTTCATTTGGCCCATAGCCTTAAAATTGATATGATACCGGTACTCTACTTCTGTATGATAGTTTTCTGTATGATCATATGAGGCGTTGTGTTGTATAAGAAGGCGACGGGTTAGGGTTGACTAGCCGCATAGAAAAAACGAATCAGCAAGTACAGTATCATACTATTTTATGATCCTATAAGAAATAGAGACCGGGGCGAGAGAGAAGGGTAAAATGAAAAATGAAAAGAAAAAGAAAAGAGAAAGAGAAAGCGAAAAAAACCTCCACTACACTTACACTAGAACTCCGGGCTCGCGAACGCCGAGAAACTCTTGACAAAGCCCTTGCTCCCCTCCCCCACACACTCCTCTCGGTAGTACAAGCCAATATACTTTTTCTTTCCTCGATTCTCAACCGCACCATGATATATGGGCAAAACGAGCATCTGGAATCTCTTTTCTTCCCCCCTTTTGCTCTCACCAACCGCAGAGTGAAGTGCCGTGTGATATGTACCCGTCTCAGAAGGAGTTCATGTAACTGTACAGTACCTACCCAGCCCAGTAATTTTCCTTTCTTCCAATGTGGAATGGGACCTGAGGTGGTGGGGGAGGCAACAGGAGGGACACTGTGAACCACCCTACAGTACCATTTCTGATTTTTGCCGCTAGGTTTTTGGCGTATTGATCGCCATCACCCTCTGTTCATTGCCCTCCGTGCTGTGTTTGCTCCTCCCTAACTATCAAGTACCTTACCCTATTAAGCAGATATCCCAGCAGTAAACCAACTTCTAATCCATCCCAACCACGATAGCATATCGGAAGTATCCCCTCAATGCGGTGGAAAGCGCAAGTATTTCCGGCTACCTGGACTACCACTTGGGGCATGGCAAGAGTTATTTATCGACGAATAAAAGCGACGCTTACCAGTGCAAATAAGACAGCTCCAGGCGCGTGTATAGAAGAAATAAAGTAAGCAACACTCCCTTACCCCCCTCTATCCACATGGCACCCCGTGGGCTCAGCTAAACCCACCGCCCTTGAACTATTTTCTTCCTCCAGTGTAAACCCCACAATAAGCACACAATCGTACTGCGCCATTTCTCTTCGCCGGAAGTTGGTCCAACATCCGCATACTACTACTGATCCCCTACTTTCTGCCAATACCGCATGCTTACCGATGAGCAGTTGTACCTTCATACCTACAATCTCGGCGCACTGTTTACTCATGGTGGAGGTTGGTCCCCCGTGAGCGTCGATAACTTCCGGAAATCGGCAGGCTCACACACTTATCTCCTTTGTCGCTGGAGTCATGCCGGAGTAGCCTGCGAGTGAGTTCCTCTCCATCTAAC